GGCACTGCATGTTAAAGAGGCAGCTAGCAGCTAGCCACCAGCAATCAGCTGTGCACCACCTGCTCCTCTAATTGCCTGACCATCTTCCCTGGATTAAGAAGAAATTTGATTCACCCATAAGCAAGACAGAGAATGAAAGGCTGCTGGAGACATCACACATGCATAAAACAGACCACCACAGTTAATGCACGTATGAATATGCAGTCCTGGTAAAACTGTCACGTTTCCTCTTCAGAAAACTGCCCTCACCATGCCAGAGACTCCCTGAAACTTCAAACACAATGTGCAGAATGAGCTGGGATTTCAACTTCCCTGGAGGCTATAGATTTACCAGCTGAGTTCACAGTTCGCTAAAATAGGATACAGCCATATTCAGCACCAGGGTTTAATTCCGTTAAGTAATTATTTCACCTGTGGTCTAGGGTATTAAATTTGTTAGAATCTTATAAAAGAAAGTCATTACAGATGCCTTAAAGGTGAACACCTATAAAGTGAATGGCAGCTATAAATCCATCACTATCTAATTGTTGAAGTTAATATTCCAATGTATTTTCTTGCTCTGTCTTCTTCTTCCTTCTTTTTCTCAGTCAAAGATTTACTTTTCCCAATAATTAAATTAAATTAGATAAATTTGAGCCTAACTGAAACTAATTTTGTATAATATCCCAAACCATTTGCATAAGGCTTCTAAAAATCTCCAAGCTATTTCTCTAGGCAGTGGGGTAGCTAATTATCTACCTCTCTAAGCAGCCTTCAAGGCATCACAGATCATATGTTTAGAAGACAGAATAATTTCATTCCTTTGCAAAAAAAGTGTCCATTGCAATCCTAATGCATCATGAAAATTCCATGTTTCCACAGAGATTAAATAATTCACCCCCCATGGAATATATTTGATCATATAATAACAGGCAGACGTGATCATTATGCCCTGAATATCACCATTTAGGAAATTGATTCCTGAACTTTTGGGATATGCAAATCCAATTGATTCTTGAACTGTGGAACTCTCAAAATGAACTGAGACTTTTGGCAGCATGCAAATATTCACCATCCCTTCAGGCTGGGCCAATGTATCTGGCATCCTCTCCCACATACAACAGAATCCATCTCAACTCAGTAGGATACCCTTCCCTGCAACAATTTGGTTTACAAAAGCTAAACTATACTACTGAAACATTGTAATTATTATAATTGTTTATCAAGGATAAAGTATTAGAATCAAAGGAATTAAATATGAAATTGTTGCTCACAGGCATTGTCTCTGTACATTCTTAGAATAGAGAGTTAATTTTTCAAACAAAAAAATCAGTCCCTCGGCCACAACCCCTCACCAACACAGTGAACATCTGACTGAGGTTGACTCATAACCTGCTGGTTTTAACCATGACTGGGCTGAGCTCTTGTTTGACTACATAAGAATCTGGTAGGTCTTGCCAAGATCCAAAATATCCAGATCTCTCACGACTCTTCCATAGTGACAATTTTCTACTCAACAACAACAGAATTAAAGTGGTTTGTCACTAAAGCAAAAGAAGCAAACACACAAGAGCATAATTTTTTTTCCAAGCATCTAAATATAAAGCTATTCATACCCCAGTCTAAGACTACAGCTCTTATTGTACTTGAAAATTAAGTTCTCTCTAAATTCTAGGTGATCAAGTTTTTTCTAGAGTCTATATGCAAGGAAAACTCTTTTTGAAATTAATATGTTCCAAGCATTAAAAAAGAATTTTAATTCCACAGGTGGGAAAACTAGTGCTGAAGACACCCCAAGGCAAAGTGCTCAGCAGAAGCCAATTCATAACAGAGATATGAGGGATTCACATCATGAAGTCACAATGCCAATTTCTGTCCCAGACCATTTTAAGAAGAGTTTAAACCCTAAATAGTTCACCAAGGAAGGTCTACCACATTACATTTACAACCATAACAAAAACTCTTCTAGATCCCAGGAGGGCTCAGTTATAATCCCACATTTAAGTTACAATGAGTCTCATGTCCCATCTGTTTAAATGACTTACTGGTGCTAGCACAAGTCAACAGCAAACTCTCTGGTGCCATACTCAACCCTCTTCCCTTGGTGATCCAAGCATCTAAAATACAAATATTAAGAGACACAAACAAAATCTGCTGCAGTGCAAAGGCACATTATAAATTATTTTTCTGAAGTTTTTAAACTCTTGAGTGCATTTTCACCCAAGTGAACTAAATCCCTTGCGCCCTTGAGCGCGCACACAGGAGAAGGAGTAACAGATGCTTCTGAATATTCCTCATCCACTTTATGACTAGGATCTATTATTTCTTCCATAGAAAGAGACCAAAGTTTTGTTTTATGCAAATTATCTTTATTTTGAGGATGGAGAAGTATTCATCCTGCCACTTGAATATTACAGTTTAGACTTCATTCTTTTCAACAGTCTGCATTACAGTATTTTTCCTTCCATTACCCACAGGTCTACTGAGGCCATAAGTAACCTGGAACTGAAGGGAATATACTCGTCTTCCCCATCCTGCACTTCAATGAAACTAAAAAATACACAGCCAACATCAGTTGCAGTAACAGAAATAATTTAAAATCTCATTATCAAGGTGCTGACAGGAAGAGATAGGATGCATTTAGGACACAGAGGCTGGAGAGAGGAGTCAGTGCATTATCCCAGTACCTGGGAGTCCTGTTCTGCCAAGAACTTCCAAGTCATCCTTGGTAAAGCACGGCTTTCTCCAAAACCAGGCTCCCCAAACTGTCAGTTTCTCTGTTATCCATTTCTCCAGTATCCTCTATATCAATAGATAGAATTGTTGTTCTTTTCTCCACAGGTTCTGATAGTACACAATATGCAATACTGAAGTTCTGTGGTCATAGGAGTTGCAATAAATACCCTCAAATCAAAATATGGACTTCTATTTTTTTACCTGAATAACCCCAGCATGCTTAAAGCATTGTAAAATCAAAACTCTTGTTCAAACTCACTGATAAAAATTTTAAAAAATGCCTAATAACCAGAGTGGGTTTTGGTAAAAATACAATATTAATGAAAATATATATGCATATCTAGATTTCTTTGAACTACTTTGATCTGGAAAGTAGGTTGTATGGCTCTTATTGTCATGCTTTTTAATGAGGTTTCTAATAGCTCAAAATATAGCAGAAACTACAAAAATAGCAGAAACTACAAATACAAAAACCACTTCTAACTCTTAGTATATTCAGTACTAATATACTCTAATTTATATAGAGAATATGTTTAAATGAACTTTAAAACAATGCAGTACTTATTAGTAAAAGCATATCCAGAAATTATGTAGAATAAAAATAATTCCAATCATAAATAAAGTGTAAGATAATCACTACAGCATTATCCATATACAAAAAACACAGAGAAAATATACAACATGAAGAAAATGATAGTAATATTATGCACCTGTGTCTTTATGGATATAAAGAAACAAACAGGCTGAAATACCAATTTGATTGACAGAAAAAAATAGAATTTGGGAGTGATCATAAAAGATACATTTTACATTAGGAAACAAGGAATCATTTAGAATATCAGATTTCAGGTAGTAAATTGCCAAGCAGAAAGCTTATTTAGAAGCAGTAGAATAAAGGTAGTAATTAAAATAACATTTGAAAGGATATTTTCTAAACTATTTTAACAACAAAAAAATACATAATTTACTTGCACTGAATATTTTTTGCAATGCAGCTGCCAGATTCGTGCCACACTGAATTTATTCACTATGCTTTTTTTTAAAAAAAAACTAGACTGATACATTTTCCATGAAGTTATTTAAATACCACCCCAAGATGCCAAGTTGGCTCTGTGACTGCAAAGATATATTTTTTTAAAGAGTGTGAAATAATTCATTAACATATTCATGAGGGAGTAAAAGAACTGCAGACTTCAGGTGAAACACTAGCTTAAGTATCACCAGAGCTAAATTGCTTCAAAAGGTGCTAAATCCTATGAACGTGCTTGCTATAGCACCACCGAGACTTCAACCAAAACAGCCAAGTGTTCATGTAAGTCCCCAGGAGCTTTACAACAAAGAGGAGAAATTTGATTTAAATAAGACACTGGCACAAAAAAGCCACCATAACAGGGAAAAAAAAAATAAATTAAAAAAAAAAACACAAAAAAAAACCCCCAACCAACCAACCAAAAAAAACCAAAACAAAAACAAAAACAGAAAGTAATGTTCTGGCAAACAAGAGGGAAAAGTTGGTTTACAACCTGCATAGAAAGATCTTGATATGATGCAATTGCCTCCAATCTTACATTTTAAAATAGACTATGAAATTCCACTACAGATATGTGTGACCAAGTACTGCACATACTGGATAGAAAAGCAGTGTTGCCTGTACAACATTTCCTGCAGTGGAGACAGAACATCCAGATTAAGAGCATGGGAAAGAGCAGCGAGTCATCATTACATTAGGACCAGTCTAATCTATTCTTATTCCTTTAACTGGTGTTTCCCACATTTAGAAAACAATCACTGGAGCTGCAATCTCCCAGTCTTGTTACTGTCTAATGTTCCATATTGGTTGGGAGCAGAGAACAGGATTAAGTGATTATCCTCTTTTCTTGGCAAATATTGCCTCTCCTTCAATTTTGATGTCATTGTTAACATATCTCTTCATTCATGAGTGTACACATGCTTTGTCTTTAATGGACTCTTGTTGGTTTATCTGCAGTTTCTTTATCTTCTGTTAAAAACATGTAAAAATAAATTGGCCTATTAGCAGAAATGCAATAGTACCAATTTGGTAAACAGTAATATAGTTCATTGCTGTAAACAGCAGCACCAGAACAATTAATATGAAACAATTCCACCACAATTAAAGAAATAAATTTAAAATAAACTGATTGTAGTTTTCCAGGAAGCACAGATTAAGAACAGCTGTTTAGAAGAGTTTCCATCATCATCCTCAGGACTGTTTTGATTCAGGACAACAGCAATTACCAGTTAGTTTGCTTAGGCTTGTATTTGGGTTTTCTTTTTTTTTTTTCCTTAAAGTAACTACCTCAAAATGACCCGTGTGGCCCAAATAAAACAGCAACTCTGCACAGACCTTTTGCATCCTCCCTTCCCATGCATTAACTGTGTTGTACTGTCCATATTGAGGTGGTACAGTTGAAGACAAACAGATCTATGCAATCCTTCACAGGGGTCAGGCTTGCTTTCCACTCTTACACGTGAATTCACACATCATCTGACATTTATCAATGTTTGTTCTCGTTGGTCCTTGTCTCCCTCCAGTGGTGGGACCATCAGACCTCTCCACACTGCAAACAAAATAACAGTCACCCTCCGATTATATCATACAGTTAAGCTTTCCACAAACTTTTTGCTGCTCACTGAATGAGGAATGCCAGAAATACTTGTTATTTTTCCTCCAAACATGCAACTTCTTGTTATTTTAATACTAATTCCTTTCCATCTCCAATTCATCACTATTCAGGGTCAATCCTGGTCTCTTATGTAGTTTCAACTTCAAGCCGTTAGCAAATTTCATTAGCACATTCTTGTTTTTATCCTACTTTTTGGTAATTAGTGAAAATAATAAATAAGATCAATGTCAAAGCCAGTCCCCGAGGAACTCCACTAATAACCTCCCTCCAGCCTTATAGCTTCTTTCAACACAGTTTCTTGCTATCTCCTTCAGTCACTCCCAAAGCATTTGTACTAACAGCCATCTCCTCCAGTTTAGATAGCATTTTCCCACACAGCACCATATGGAGTGCTCTGCCGGGGTTTAGGCAGATTCAATCTTTTCTTTGCTCTTAAGGTGAGTGACATGGCTATGAGAGAGACAGAGGGCACACTCAAGAGGTGTTGTCAGGGAGAAAATTAAAAAGCCATCATATGTGTCCCTGATGAGACCTTATCTGGAAGATTATATATAACTTTTCCATTTAACAATATTGAGGAAAAAAAAAAAAAAACCTTGAAGGAGAACAATTAAAAAGTCAGTCACGGAAGCCAAACAGAAGGGCCTACTTTTATAACTTAGCAAAAGGATTTGCCTTGCGTGGCAAATTTTGAGTACCAAGGGGACTACTGGAGTGGCTTCTGTGAAAAGGCCAAGCTCTTCAGTGGTGGCAGCACCACTGGGATAACATATTTAAGAAGGGGAAACAAAACCCTGCTCAATTGCAGCTGGAGAGGGAAGTGAGAATGTGAGAGCAACAACTACACAGACACCACGGTCAGTGAAGAAGGAGGAGGAGGGGAAGAAGGAGGCAGAGAAGGAGGCCTAGAACAGAGATTACTCTGCAGCCTATGTTGCAGACCATGGGAAAGCAGCTGTGCCCCTGCAGCCCATGGAAGTTAAAAATGGAGCAAATAGCCTCCTGAAGCCCATGGAAGACCCCACACTGGAGCAGGTGTGACCCAGCAGGAAGCCCGTGCTGTGGTAGACTCCTGGCAGGACCTGTGGACCCATGCTAGAACAGGTTTTCTGGCAGGACCTGTGAGCCCACAGGAGACCCATGCTGGAGGAGTTTGCTTCTGAAGGACTGCACCCTGTGAAAGGGAGCCATAGGGAGCAGCTCCACAGGACTCACATTGGAGAAGTTAATGAAAAACTGTCTCACATGGGAGGAACGCCATGCAGGAGCAGAGGAGTGTGAGGCCTCCTCTCCTGAGGAGATATGAACAGCAGGGACAACATGTGATGAATGGACCTCAATCCTCATTCCCTATCCCCCTCCACTGCTAAGGGAGAGGAGTTAGAGTTAGATAAAATCAGGAGTGAATTTAAGCACAGAAAGAAGTACGGAGTGATGGTACTTTAGGATTCAGTTTTCTTTCTTTGTCATAATCATACTCTGATTTGTTTGGTAATAAATGGAACTAATTTCCACAATTCCAGCCTGTTCTATGACAGTGGCAGTCAATGAGTGATGTCTTCCTGTCCTTAAATCAAAATCCTTTCATTATACTTTCTCTCCCTTGTCCAGTTGAGGATGAAGAGCAATAGAGCAATTTTGGTGGGCAACTGACATCCAGACATGGTTAATCCACCACATCATCTCAATAGTAAATGTCAGAGATAGAGAGAAAACATTGTTTAAAAGCAATGGAAAATGATAAAAACTCCCACGGACACATTCTGTCTGGAATTCATAAAAGCTTCAGCTCATGAAAGGCATAACATTTGCGACTAGACTTGCATATATGAGGAGAAAATCTAGAAACAGTCTTATTTATGAGATCTACAACATGGGTATTGGCACTATTTGAAATCAGCAAGCTTGATAACCTATTAAGCTCTTTCTGCTACTTCCATAGTTTTTCCTTTCCAGAGATCCTCAGTGTTGGCTTCTTTGTCGCCAGTGGGAGGCAAAAGAACGAGACACACATTCACACCCAGCATTTTTCAAAACCATCATTTTCAAAGTCAGGCCCTAAAGGATAATGTGCAACTAGTATTGAAGATACTAGACAATTCACCTACATAAACATTCCTAGACCATTGCTGTCCTTAGCTCACTACTTACATCTGTCTGTGTAGCTTCACAGACCAGCTTAATTCCCTCTCTGTCCAAGAATGACATGCTCAGAATTTGCTTTCAACAGCCTCAACAACATACCAGCTCTCAAGTTCATCACAAGTTCAAATTGATGAGCTAGTTTATTAGTTTTACTATCTCTCTCTGCTCACAGGTCTAAACAGAAGTTTTAACCCAAAAGGGATGGCAAGATGTAGTGGTTTGGTATTTTACTGCAGATAAGTCAATGAAGGAAGGGGAGGAAAGAGAGGGAGGAGGCTGAACCAGGGTGGGAAGGGATATTTTGGGATGTCAAAGTCTGTTATATTGTCATTTGCATGAACCAATATTGTATTTAAAGCTAGAAGATCTCATAACTTACTGTGAAGAACCAGATGGTTTAAAATCAGTATTACTGCTGACATTTATGAGCCCTCTTGAAAGGTATAGCATTCAGCTTGTGGGGGGAAGGGGAGTTGGCAGCTTATTTTATCATCTGGGGACAATTTATCATTTTGGCCCTGTATAATTTACCTCTTTAATTCCCTCCCCAATCACTTGCCCTATGTATTAAACTACAGTATGAAATCAATCACTCAAAAATAACATTAAAAATAATTTACTTTACCCCACTAAAAATATTGTATTGTTATTGTTCTACTGACCTTTACTCTTGTGGTTTTTTTTCCCCAATAATGACTTCTAAAAAGGAGAAAAGGGATGAAGTTTAATCTATGTCAGTACATCCAACTGTGACTCCTTTCTGCACACTAGTATGTGTATTAACACATAGTTATGGCTGTCATTAGCACACTGTTTTTACTCAGTTCTAAACTAGAAATATGCAACGTTTCAACAACATGTGTGCAATTCCTACATACACTTCACGAGTCCCCTCTGCTCAACTGGAAGTGAAGTAACAAACAGAACCTGAGAACAAAAGAGGTTTTTCATCCTACACATTAAAAAAATCCCATTGCTTAGTATTTGTATGAAATCAAGTGTGTCAGAAAAACAGATTTGTGTGAGAACAATCAAACAATGAAGAGGAGAAATAAAACAAAAACCAAAACAGCCAACTCCTCCTTTCAGAAGAGATGACTTGACTTGCTCACTGTTGTTATATTCACTCAGGATGTGGGGCCAGCCATGCTCCACAGCCATGCTTAATACCCACATTACCTTACTGAGCACAGGCTCAGTGTTCAAGGAAGCATCCTAACTACCAGGTAACAGACTGATAGGAAACAGCTCTGGGAATATTTAGTTCTTCACATGAAGTGTAAAGCAGACCCACAGCTGAATAGCCAAGAGCATTTGTCTCAGTTCTGAATGATAATTGTTCCAACTGGTGCCCCAGTTAAGGCTAGAAGAGTGTGTTAAATGTCTGGGTTTATTGTCTTCCTTACCTCTTCCTCACTGTTATTTTGGTTCAAAAAAACCATCACATTCCCCAGCAGGACTTTCATTAAGATACCTCTAAAGGTATAATGCTCCAATGGAAGTTACAATTCACACAAGTGTTATGGATCAAATCCATTAAATTATACCAGAAAGAACAGCTAAAAGGCTAAAGCAAAAATGAAATTTAACTCTTAGTTATACACTATTGTTTTAATATTAGTGATTGCCCAAAACCATCTTGGAGACTGCAGAACTAAGTTGGAGCACATGGGCATTATTCACACCTTTCAGTTTTCATATGACTATAAGAACAAAGACAGTTCTGCTTTCAACTGGGACTCCAGCATTGAACATGATAGCATTACTCTAAATATAACAAACTTATCATTAATAAGTGGAAGTCCATCAGTAGCTAATCCGCAGATTAAAGACCTAAAATAATTTTAAAGACCTAAAATAAAGTAGCATTTGATAAATCAGCTTTATTCAATAAACCACTCAAGAATAACAGCACTTGTCAATAAGCGAGATACATGAAGAGTTCTGAAGTTACCACTCAAATAATATAGGCTTTCCAAAATAGCCTAATTTTTCCCCAGAATATACATAATTTTTGCCACAGTATCAGTGAGTATCTTCATATGTGAGCACTGGCATGTGGGCTACAGTGCAAGTATAGCTTCCAGCCTTGAAAGGCACTGAAGCAACACAACACCAAGAAGTCTGGGGGAATGGTTGGTCATGTGCCACTTGTTCAAAGCCAACAAGTGTAAATTTTTTATAGAATCAAACAACATATCCTAGTAAAGAACATTTTGTTTGCTTTCTCCTCACAAGCAGAGAATATCTGATCACAAAATAGGTACTCAGCTCTTCCATTGTCAAGTCAGGAGATTATCTAGGGAAATAGAGCGAGGCAAATTTGAATACCTGTATTTTCTTGAAATACAAAAGATGACAAGACAAGGACTTTCTTCACTACACAGGATAAACCAAGTCAGTTTAACTACTCAATCTATATTTTGATTAACACTTGTAAAATACTTCCTTTCCTGCATTATTAGGCTAAGTGAATCATCAAGGATCACTACATGGAGACCCCCCTACTTTTTAAATAAGGATGCTTATGAAATAACTAAGTACATAACTGCCACATGAGAGCCAAGCAGTTCAACTACCTTTGCCGTCAAGTTATGGTCTAAGTTTCCAGAAGAGTAGAATCTTACTTCTCCCATCATTCTAGCACAGTTAATCAATCCTTAAAAAAAAAAAAAAAAAAAAAAAAAAATCTTTAAAAAGTGAGTACTTACCATGCTTTTTCCATTCTCTGTAAAAAAATGATTGATTAGGAAGGGACACACAATGGAAATGCTACTGAAATGTCAGGCTCTAATTTTTTTTACAAAATATCATTGAAAATGCTATTTTAGTCTATGCATTTGTCACTCACTGCAACATGTTCATGAGCAAAGCTTACAAAACAGACCATAAAAAATTAAATCTTGCAGCAACTTTCAAGAGAAAGGGGACAATGAGTTTATGTCCAATTTCTTTCCTCTCCAAGTCAAATTTCTTTGGTGTTGGTGTCATGGAATGAAAGCAAGGAAGTTCAGGACTGAAAACAGCTTTCTGGTTGGGAGCAGCCTAGATGCTAAAGCAGACCTTGGCTCAATTCAAGGTCTCTTTTCTATCCCCTTGTACTTTCTGATGTGTCATACAGGAAATCAATTTTTTTTGGTGCTGGGGCAGAAATGCAAAGAAGCAAAGACTTGTTGGGTCCTATGTGCCACAGTTTCATATTCCCAGAGCTTTTAAAATGAGGATAATTAAATACATGAACTGCCCAAGAGTATTGTGGAGAGTAATTAGACAACAAATTTAGAGCACTTTGAGAAAGAGAAGTACTCTGTGTCAGTATTTACTGCTATCTTTATTCATACTGAAAAACCCCAAAATATTATTTTTGCATTTATAGGAGTAAATGCATTAAGATGCTCAAATGCAAAGTAAGAACTTTTCAGAATTATTTCAAGAAACTAAAACTGTAGATTGTTCGTACAGTCTTTATAGAAGATGGCAACTCTTGAGCTCAGATATTAAGTACAAGAGCTGTTAAAAATAGTAAAAAGTCAAACTACATTTGGAATAATAATTGGCAAACTTTTCTAGATCTATAAAGAAACCAAATTTATCAGCTTTCTATCTAGGATAGCACAAATTATTCAACAGAAATAAAATTCAGCATATTCAGTTCTGAAGTGAACAAATTAAACTATAAAAAAATCCTGTGTGCTGACTGGAGATCATTCTGTGTGCACAAAATGGCCATGAGCAGATCAGGTCCTTCAATTATTTCACTATTTAAAACAGAATCATGGAACTGTAATGTTAGGAAGGGACCTCTGGAGATGTTCTAGTCAAACCTCTACAGCTTAGAAGGGTCAAAGACAGCAGGCTGCTCAGGCCTGTCTGGATTTTGAGTAACTCCAAGGATGGAGATGCTACAGACTCTCTCCCTGGACAGTCCATCTAACAGACAGCCTGCCCAGCTTGTATCTCCTCTTCCTTTGCTGTGCTTAGAAACAGCTTTCAAGAGAATTTGCTCTCTTTCCCAGGGGACAAGGTGAAGGTGACTGGCCTGTAGTTTGCCTTATCCTCTTGCTCGCCCTTCTTGAAGATGGGAGATCACAGGAACTTCATCTCAAATTCCACAACCTTTCAAAGGCCACCAAATGTAGCCCCATGATACAAGCTAGCTTCCTCAGTCCTCATGGGTGCATTCCCACCAGATCCCATCTACTAGCGTATGTTCAGTTTAAGTGTCCCCTAATCTGAGCCTCCTCCGCCAAAGATAAGTCTTCCTTGCTCCAGGTTTTCCCAGTATTCTCAGGGGACTGGGACTCCCTGAAGGCAGATTTCCCCATGAAGACCAGGGCAGAAAAGACATCAATAACCTTGGCCTTTCCAGTATTCTTTGTCATCAGGGCATCACATTCAGTACAGATCCACATTTTCCCTAGTTTTCCTTTTGCAGAAGTCCTTCTCAGTCCCTCTTACATAATTTGCAAAATTAAACTCCATGCACGCTTTGGCTCTTGTAATCACATTTCTGCACTCAGTTATTTTTGTATTCCTCCTAGGTCTACTGACTTACATTTTATACTTGAGTTCTGTCAGGAGAATCTTGTTGATCTGTGCAGACCTCCTGACACCCTTGCCTGTTTCCTAAAAATCAGAATGATCTATTCTTGAGATTGGAGCCTGAAAATTCCTGAAAATCATCCAGACCGTCTAGATCCCTCTTCTCTCCAGGACTGTAACCCATGGTATTCTTTCAAGTAGGTTCCTAAACAGACTGAAGTCAGCTCTCCTGAATTCCAAGAATATGCTTCAATCTTTCCTCTCAGGATCCTGAACTCCACCATTTCAAGGTCACTGTCACTGGTCACTCCTGACCACTTCTTCCTTGCTTGTAAGTAAGGGATCCTGCACAGCAGATTCTCAGTCACCTGTGTCAGAAAGCTGTCATTGCTGTACACTGGAAAAAATCCTCCTGGATTGCTTGTGCCCTGCTGTTGCCCATCCAGCACAGATGGGGTGTTTTAAAGTCCCAAAGCCCGTGAACTTGAGGCTTCTTCCAGATGTCTGAAGGTCTTAACTGCATCTTTTTTTCCTGATCAAACACCCACAATGCAGACAATATGTGGCCCACATTGGTCCATCTGCTAATTCCAACCCTGGTTCATCCATAACAAGTTAAGCTGGCTCATCCATAACAAGACAGCTCTGTGTGTTCCTCCTACCTTCTCACAAAGATCAGCTTCCCCACCTCACTGTCCTAGCTTGTTCCTCCTAAAGATCCTATTTCCACACACCGCAACACATCTCCCTTTGAGCTATCCTACCACGTCTCTAACATGCCTGAGATTGTAGGCATACAGAAGGACACTATTTCCCCAGCACCAAGCCTTGGTGTACAGGCACTTGAGAGAGGTGCCCGCTTGTGCTGGTTTCCCAATAAATGGATGTACGTTTCTTCCCTCATGCTGTAATCTCACTAATCCCTTATTTGTGTGCACACATTTGAAATGACCCCACTTTCCCCCCATTTTGTTGATTAGAAAGTCTCTTTTATTGTCACTTGTACACTGGTAGACATTTCACTTGTCTGTCATTCATAGTGTAAAGCTCTCCTTTTACTGGATCAGCCAGGCTGTTGGCTCTTCATAGTGATCCTTGGTCTTCACAGTGTCCCATGGTTGTCAAAGTACATCATCCTTAAGGCATTTCCTGTGAAAGAGTCTCTGAATTCAGAGACAAGACATACACATTTCTTCTGGAAATAACTATCACTTCTTCCACAAAGGAAATCAATCTTGAGATACCCCCTCTCTGAAAAGAAAAAATTGGTTGGAGCACTGTCTTCACATTTTGACAATAGCTGAGTTGTTATTGATTCCACTTCATTCTGATTGATTCCATCTCTACCACAACTCTGCTGTTTCCTAGAATCTGACCTTTGACTTCAGAAACCTGAAGCTTCAATTTTAATGATTAAATGGATTCTTATACATTCAGGAAAAATAAATTCAAGAAATCCAGTTACCTAATCAGCTAGAGAAAACTAATATATTAAATATAAGCAAAAGCTATAGATTTTATTTAATACACTCTCCTTTTGGGACATTCATCCTTCTGCCCACAAAGTACCTCAAAATAAGTATTCTGATGTAATATTTCCAAAACCATCCCAGAGGTGTGTAATCATACTACTTATTTTCAGAAATGAGTTATGCAATCTTGTTGATTTTCAGGAACATTTGGACTCAATTAATTTCCAAAAATGGAGCTGAGATGCATGTGCAAGTTTCCTCTTTGAATATTAGAAGATAACAAAGATTTGAGACATTTAGCAGCTGCAAATCTAATTTAAAATTTATTATTTAGATAATTTCACAAGTAAGTTTGGTTCTTGAAATGAACAGGCTAAAGCTGGACAGTGACCAAATAACCAGCCTACAGTTGCAATAAAACAGTTCCTTATAACCAAGAAAACCCCTAATTCTTTATTGCAGTGAATATTCATTTGACACCTTTGTCTTACTTCAGGCCTCTCCTTATTAGACTTGCCCCTCAATGGAATTGCACCTGCACACCAAAATTCATTTTTCCAAATGCCAAGCCAATTCATTTCTTTTTCTAGGATTGCCTTTCATAAATCAGGAATCATTGAAATTGCACACGTAACAAAAAATATGGGGAGAGGGAAATCCCTGAGCAAGCAATTTTCCAGCCAGAGATCCAATATCAGTTGAGTTGAACAATCAATCCAAATTTAGAGACAATATGCCCTTAAGATGCTCAGTCCTGAGTACAATAATATGCAACCTGAGCCAGTTACAAACCTGCAACTACCAACTATTCCTGTACAAACAGCCAGACTGCTACATGCCTTTTCAAAGAAATTGCATAGCAAAAATTTAGTGATTCACATTTAAGGCCTAATTAAGGTCCACAAATAGTACAAGTAATTTTTAAAAAACCTTCCTCTGTTGCAGAAAGAAAAAGATATCATTATGAATTTTAGCAATGTCAACAACAGCATTCTGTGCTGAATAGGAGCCTGATTGGAGAATGTTCTGAGAAAACCAGGTCGATTTAATCATTCCATGCCAGTGTTGGATTTTTTTCAGCACAATATACACAGTGGGTAACTGACACAATAAAATCTCCAGTTTCCAGGAGTTCAATGCATTTCAGGTCAGTTTGGTGTCAAAGGGATGCATTTATAGAAGCTATGTTGGCTAGAAATTGTGAAGTCAGAATAGTATTCTGAGCCCCCTGGAAATTTCTAAATGGATTTCTTTTTAATTGAACAACACTTCATTGCAATGGGATATGCAAAATGCTCCATTTGCTAGTACAGGTTTTTACTCTTGCATCTTTGGTAGAATGCTCCTATAAAAAATATTTTAACCTGTGAGTGTGTCTTAAGAACACTAATCAGGCAGAGCTGCTTGGCTGGAAATTGCTAGGCATCATATGGAGCCCTCTAGCTCCTAGCAGCACCAATTTCCACTGTGCCAAGCACCAGCCAAATCATTCAGTCTCCCAGATGAACACTTAACATTTAGAGCCCACAGTAACAACCACCCATAAGAAAAAGGCAAAGGGACAGAGAAGCAAAACAATTTGGTTTTGTTTAGATGAGCCACCAGAGTCGGAAACTAAGCCAAAATTGTACTTCAATAGACTACACCTTTTCTCCTAGAGCAGGGGAAGTAATTTCCTGAGGACGACCATTGCCTGCATTTCTTAGTTTAAGTGATGAAAAGAAAAATTCCTAAGCCTGATTAGTGACAGGTTTCTTCCTCCCTCCATTCCTTCCCCTTTCTCCAAAAGGTACTTTGCATACTACCAGATCTATCTTGTGCAAAATTGCCACCTTAGCCCTGTCAGGTTACAGAGAAAAAAAATGACAAAACAAAAAAGCTGATTAAATTACAATTACTCACAGACTTAAAGAAGTGTTTGACTAGAATTTGGGGATGCAGATTATCAATGTTTTAAAGAGGCATATGAACCACAGCATGTACATTGAAATACCCACCTTTTAAAGAACAAAGATTAAAAGATAATTAAAAACGAAATCACATTTTTAGCCTGTGGAAGCAGCAGTTATGGTTACACCTATCCCCCTACATGCAGAAGTCACAAGCATGTGTGCACACACTGGGTGCCACAGTTTAACCACAGGGGAGAGGACACACCTCCACTGACTACACCTGTCTAATATCTCCCAATAAACCACAAAGAGATTTGTCTTCTTTCCAAGACAGTGAGAAGCTGCAAGTCTGTGGTCAATAGAGCATAAAACTCAAACTAATAAGAACTAATGAGTTAAAAGCATGTTGCTTCCAGGCAGAAATAAACGTCTAGGTTTTGCCTGTTCATCCAAAGAGCAGATTGTTCCCAAGTGAGATGCAAGAAAGATCAAAATCCAGATACAACAAATTTTCTATCTGATCTTTATTCCATCATAAAACTGCAATTTGTCAAACGTTAGCATTTCATGGAAACACTCTTTTGACAGAACACAGAGGCAGGCTGGAAACCTGCTGTTTTGTAGCTGTTTATTTACCTGTCTCCTCAGCAATAAAGAGCTGGATGTGAAGACTTGCAGGTTTCAGAGCCACCTGAGCTCCCAGCTGCCTGACTCCAGTCTGTGACTCCCAGGACAGCCTCCCACTCACCAGGGAACCCAGGGAGCCCATGAAGCTGCTGAATAAAACTGTTATAATCCTTTTAGTTTCACTAACAAACCCCACTGATTAACAGCAGCAAAACAGTCAAACCCTGTCAGCTTCACGCAGCAGCAGTCAGGAATCCTGCAGAGCACACCAGTTTCATAAGCAAAACATTGTGGTATTTTAATAGCATGTTGTGGAGGAGGGGGACTACTTCTTATTCCAGTTCAGAATTTTCACTGTTTTGGATAAAAACTGGTGAATAAAAATTTGGTTTCAAAGCCAGCTCTGCCAGAACCAAGTGAATTGCTCCTATTTGGATATCTCATGATTTCTGGCAAACTACAGTGCTGTTTTCCTGTAGGTTACAGGTCTGACTCAAAACATGCATGCCTGCATAGGAGTATGCTCTAATCCTTTCTCTGTCCTTTCTACCACAAAAGAGGAACTAGCAATGACATATAATTTATATCCATATTCAGAAGTTTGCCAATATAAACAGTTCAACCAGAAAGGCAGCCTAAGTCAGTAAATTATCTACTAAAATCTTAACAGCCTTCACTCATCAAACAGATGATCCAGTCCCTGCACTGGATGAGCTAAGGGGACCCAGCTGTAATTCATAACAAAAATCATTCCCATACACTGCTGGAGAACACATAGGACAGCAGGACATCATCTTACTGCATCTTTTCATAGCAGCTCTTTTAATGCAGCTTTAATCTTGACTGGATTTCCCAATACAAAGAGATTATAGCTTTAAGAAAGGTCCCAAATGATAGTAATTTAGTATTCCAGACACACATGGGAGGAAAGTTTGCACAGTTCTTACAACCTTAAGGTTTTTGCAGGACAGGAAAAATGGACAGGACATTAAGAAACTATTATGCGAGAAAATAATAAAAATATTATTTTTACCATAGTTTTGTCTGTATCAAAATGACATTTTCTTTCAAGAAACAGAGGTTAATTTGAGACTGCTCTGAAGCAGTGTATTACCATTGTATGTTGGCATGTTTACTAGCTCTGTGGAAAACTGTCCAAAAAAAGAAAAGCCTAGTCCTATGGCTAACACAGACATGGCTAAGGGCTTGTTTGACAAAGTGCTGAGATTTCACTGCTGTGGTTAAAGGCCTGGAGTGCTCTTGAAATTAACTTGAGACAGACAGCAAGGTATGTTCCCCGCAGCTGGAACAAATTACCGTCTCAATGGAGTTAATCATCAATTAAAATCTGCTCCATCTCACATCGTATTTTCCCTCCTCTGCAAAGTAATCTCAAATCTCTGCTTCTCACTACACCAGCTTCCTCACAAACCCTAAAAAACCCACACAAATTATTTTCTAGAGACCTCCAAGCTGCCCAGGATCACATCTTAAGTAAGACACTCACCTTGCCTGACTTTTCTTCCTGAGACTTTCAAGTTTCAGTTATTGGAGATGTCAGCCTGAGATAATTAAAAAGTAGATCTTTGCCAATTTTCTTTAAACCAATTTATGACATTCTATGCAATTTGTCCACAGAAAGGTAAAATAGATATAGGCAATATGCATAAGGAGCTGCACATTTTGCTTGACAGAACTTGGAGATGATGCCAACAAGCTGCTGCTTTCAAGGATATAAGCCACAGCTGAGCCTATTGCAGAGCTCTATACCCACCATGGCTCTGCAAAGGCCAGCAGCCATCACCAGCCCCAGCTCTGTGATTACATGATTTCTATCCATTGTGACAACATGGAGCTTCTGCTGGCATTGTCAATGCTGAGCACAGAACAGGCAACTTTTTTTTCCTAAATTAACTGTAAAGAAACTTAAATCTTTTGTGACGGCTAGCCTGGGAAGCTAGCCTAGGTGCTGCAAAGGTGAAGTTCTATCTTTCCACCATGAAAATTTTTCCTCTGCAAAAAAAACCTCCATATTTCAGTGTAGTATCTCAAAGACAGAAAAAGAAGCAGTTCTCAGAAATATTATTTTCTTTGTTGTTGAATAAGCTATTATAAATGACCTACAAAGATTTTTAATACCTTCAATCGCAACCCTTTTTAATACCCCTTCTTAACTAAAAGGTGAAAGAAGTTCTTAAGCCAACTGTCCTCAATTTTTAGGGCTGTTAGAGTTTATTCTCCTCTCCCTTCCTCTACAGCTTTTTGTCTCTCACCTTGAAAAAATAAAAATAGCATTAATTATATCTGTTTGCTGCACTGAAAAGTCTCACAATTTAATTTAAAAAGTGATGTCTATCTATGGCAAATAGTATCTTGTACCACATTTCAACATTAATTTTTAATAGGATTTAACAAACATAAGCCAAGATGAAGAGGTTAAAGGGAAAATGATAAATAATTTGAAACCTCATTTCATTCTGAGCCACTTTTACCTACATTTTCATGTCATGCATGGCACACTGGTGGCTCCTTAAAAGAATAAGAGCATACTGCTAGCCCTTTCCTTCAGACTATTTCAGGATAAGCTATCACAAAAAGTTCTTATCACCAAAATGTCCAGAAAAAAAGAAAACCAAGACCAAAACTCCTCACAAATAAAACAGCACAACCGGGGGAAAAAAAAAAAAAAACACCACACTAAAAACCCAAATAAAACAGCAACAAACCAGCACTACACACACAAAAACAAACAAAAAATGCATAAAATGCTAATGTTTCTAAGCTTTATTATTTGGGCTGGGAAGATGACTCAAAGGCTTAGTACTTTTACAGGAAAATGTAAAGAACATGCTCTTTAATCATAGGATGGTTTCATTCCAGCTTTCTCTGGAACATGGCCCTTACCATGGGAGTGTGCCCATGATATGGAACAGTGTATATTGCAACAACATATGCAAGATACAACAAATAACTACATAGTGTCAAAATATAACCACATAGTATGTTGTTAAGACTTTATGCAAGTAGAACCATAGCTTTGCTGAGGTCCCAGGCCATTTCAAAGTTGCAGACAAGGCATTTCATGGCATGCATAGTCACTGAACACTAACAAAACTAGATCTCCCAGCTTCATTTAAAAAGAGAATTATGGATTGTTGCCAACCTTTACAGAAAAGGAAATATTGGGATTAGAAGCCACCCACATTTTCTTAGCCAAAAGGAAATAACTAACAGACACATTCAGAGATACATAATTCTGTCCAAAACATTAGAAAATAAGTGGCTGCTGCTAAGTTTCTACACCTGTATTTAGAAACTGAGTTTCTAACACCACTGTTAGAAAAAGTAAATTCTGTGCAATACAGCTGAAATAAAAGGCTTTAGTGTTGTGACAACATCCCCCCACCCTCAAACAAATATTAAAAGGTGCAGGTCTGGAATTACGGGTCTAATTTTGGACTCCCAGAATTAAGAGCAGAACAGTGACAATCTTTGAATAACACTGCCAGCTGAAACTGCTTGACTGAGTCTTTGAATTGATGTTGTAGCTTTTTTCCCAGATAAAAAATTTAAAAAATAAAAGGCTAGTTCTTTCTCATAGATTGCAGAAGAATCAGCATTATTCCAAATAAAATAAACTTTAAAATTCTGTTTTTCAGCAGAAACAAGCAATTACCAAAAGGATCAAACTTACTGTTTTTCAAATACCATTTACTTCTGCTTGGATTGCAAAAACACTGAGAACAAACAAAACAAGATCAAAGACAGAGTCCACATTGCAGAAAATCTTGAAATAGCAACAGAAATCACAGAAGCAAGAAAGAAAAGCCAAACAATAGAAAGAAACAAGGACGGAACTTGGAACAAGTCTAAAAATGAGGCTTTTTATGTATCAGCACAAATTTCTTACTTTTGCTTTCCCCCCAGTAACATTATTCCAGCTCATGCTGAAACAAGCCTGGATTCAGAGCAGCTCACATCAGGTGCATCAAAACATCCAGAGGAGAAGAAAAAAAGGAAAATTGTTTTAATGGCATTGTCATCAGGAGTCTTATAGCTATAAACATACTGCTTTGTTCATTTTCGTATCAGAAGTTAATTCAGTTGTTACCATTCAGGAAAAACATTGTGAGATTAACTCCCTTCCCTTCTCTCTAGCCCTGCTTATTAGCAATCTCTGCAGGCCCGCAGCACCAACAGATTTCTTTATAAAGTTGTGCAGAGAATCAGAAAGGCAGCTCAATTACCATCAGCAGGCAGCTTTCCAAAAGAGAGCCATGAACAAAACCATGTCTTGAGGTATCCTGGCTGAGAGTGGCCGAAAACTGCCCGTGCTGGGCAGAAGGAGCCCCTGCTCCCTCAGACCTGACTGGCAGGTCAGGCACCCCGACACTCCCCCACCTGTTTCAGGCAACACATTAAAGCCACCTGTTAGGATTTTAAATCAGGCCTATTAATTTTGACCTGGGGGAGGATGCACTTGCATCACAGTCTGGCCATTAGAAACAGGAACTGGTGGAGACAGGAAGTAAACTTGGGATCAATAAAATCTATCTATAGCCTTCTAAGTGTGGGGCAGATCTCTCAAGGATGGGACAAAAGGCCAAAGCAGCTGTAAACACACAGTCCAGACAAAGGCCTTGGGCAGCTGTTGGTCAGTCAGTAAAATTAATATACAGGTGGCTCCAGCAAAGAAACTCAGGGTCTCTAGTGCCCAGTGCTGGAACGTGCACATTGAGCCCGAGACAATTGCATGAAGGATAAAGAATTTGTCTGCACCTGTGAGCAACCATGCTTTGCAGTCCAAACACTCTTCAGACCCACAGCCCAGAATGAAAGGAGCCGGGCAGAACAAAAGAAGATGGAGAACACAGGGGTTTCATTTCAATTACGAAAAAAAAAAAAAAAAAAAGGTGGCAGTGATTCAGAAAGGTCCTTGTCTCTTTGAGTGAATACAGTAAAGAATAAGCCACAGTTCAGTAGCTGCAGCCATGGGTCTGCTGGTTAAAGCCAGGAGTTTTTGTCAGTGCCCTGAAGCCCCATCAGCCTTTGTGCTGATCGGGATACAGGACGAGAGAGCTGAGAACTTGTACTTCAGTTGTGTGTAAAATGCTTGACAACATAGCAGACAAATGGTTAAAATCACAGGAAAGTGAGCAGAAATTAAAATAGTTTGTCCCAGGAGGGTGGCACACACCCCCTAGAAATCTTCAGCCTGTTCTGCAGCCAAATATCAAATGGCCACCTTCAATTTTATTATCTTTTAGTTAGATGGGACAGACAGTTCACAGACTGTAAGAGCGACACCTTTAAAGCTCTGTTTAATTTTCTGTGTCTGAACAGTTCCATGTCCCACTTTTTAATTGCTACATCTAATGGAGGTGGGAAGGTAGATGAAAAATGCTGAGCTTTATGAGACAGTAAAGCCTTTTTAGTTCCCTACTATTTTGCTATTTATTTCCAGAGTGGAATGTCATAATTTGTGGTGCTCTACCCTGGCATGTGCATTCAGAATAGTTTTCTTTAATAGACCACTCTTAAGATTATAGACTCATCTTGCATTGTAAAACTCTTTATTCACTGCTTTTTCATGAGATCCCCTTGGAAGGCTGGAAATCTTAAATCTCACAACAGCTGGGACCTAATTCTGCCCCACAGAACAATATGACAAACTTCTCAGACTCCTCCAGAAATTATTTAAATCAGGAAGAGACTGGCCACCGATTTCTTGTATGCTCTATTGCACAGTATAGCTAACAATTTGCTTTTGCAGGGACCAATGCAAATTAGCCTGGATGGAATTTTGAGACATTAAAACAGAAGAAAAAGAAGTAATAAAATTAATATTTTAAGGGAGTGACTAACTATTGTCTTTCATAAAACAAAACATAAATTTAGGTGCCAGAAAAAGAATGCACAGGACAAGGTTCCTGCAAGCAGAGGAATGATCTAGGAACCCAAGTCCCACAGATCAGCCCTGCAGCTAATGTGTACAGGGACTGCTGACATGTAGACATGTTGAACTACATTTGAACTAATAGCTAAGCATATTTTGAAAACTACATCATGCAGCAATTTCAGTGGTCACTTTCTCCACAAGTGATGACCACAGGCACCATTGCTGACTTGTGTTTCACTATTTGACAGCAGAATAAGTAAGGGATCCTTTTCTTTTCTTTTTGTTTCTGCCAACAGATGGATACTGACTTCATACATGCCAAGTTGAGCTATGTGCAGAAAACTCCATTCAGATTTCAGCATCCAAGACTGCATTCCCTCCAGGAATGGAAAATAAGTATTCTCCCCTTTCAAAAGACTGAGAATACAGGTTTTAATTTTTATGTGTAAAAATTCATACAAACACAAGTTTTTCATCGAAGACATATCATTCCGGACTAGAAAAATCATCTGGGACCAGGGTCAGAATAGGTTTTATGGCTGTAAAGCAAGACCTCAGCAGACATCAGATTTATTCCGCCCAAAATGGAACTTGGGAAAAAGGAAGAACCCTGCTCATCTCTGTCTTGATTCATGAAATTACAAGCATGCACTTTATGATATGGTGAATCATAAGATAAATTGGTTAATCTTTTGCGAGAACTGAATAGCAAAATTACCAGGGAAATATCTTAACTATTGTGGCATAGGGTGCCTCCTCCCTTTGTTCTATTTGGTCTCATGGATCTCTTCTCATTGGAAGAACCTCTCTAATAAAACAACCCAACCCAGAGCACTGAAAGAACTGAAGAATGCTGTTCTCAACAAGACAGATTTCAGCTTTCTCAGACAGGAAAGAAAACCAAATTTACATCTTTCACACCCTGACAAAATACTAAAATTCTTTGTACAGACAACAATGGCCAGCACCTTCCCCTCATTTTCCACATTTTAGAAGAAAGACAGAGGTACTTCCTTACACACATTTTCTCGCTGTCTCCTCTCAAGCAGTTCTTCACCCACATACTGGTTTTTTTTTCAGAGGGATTGAGATGTAGGAATATGAGTGCCATTCTGGCACACTACAAAATGTGTTTATACATACCCCAGAGCTGTGCATCCTTTGTGCCCATCACCTACATAGCAAACTCGTCCCCAAGCAATATCCCTTAACATCCTAATTTCCCTCTAATTTCTATAACCTTGCATTTCCAGTCTCCCCTCAGAGCAAGAGGTGTTTCCTGTGTTTCTCTTTCAAAGGTTAACTGCAAGGTAAAGCATAGCTGTAGTTCCACAGCACTGCAGGGGGGGAACAACAAGAACAAATGAAAATAAGAGCTGGGAATAAGAGGAAATCCCTTAATCTAGTTTAGCTTTCATCTTTTCTCTTGCTGCCCATGAAGAAAGTGATCACCTTGGGGGAAAAAAATAATAGTTCAATAATCCCAGTTTATTCCTGGGACAGAGAATGAGTCCCTAAACTATTTCTTCTCAATTGGATGCCATTAGACCACTGCCAGGCAACCTGTGACTAATGTAAGGAAACGCAGGTGCAGCAATCATCAGCCAGCAGGCACCAAGGCAAGATGGGCTTGCTGCTCCAGAAAGACCCTGCAGAAAAGTGTGGGCATCATTTCCTTCAGCAAGATGGTGGGGAAAAAACAGACTGCATAAAACTGACAGTCACCTTTTCCATACCTTGACAGGTCCTGATCTCTAGGGAGACTGCTCTCCCCTTCCTGTCCC